GCGGTGGCGGCAACAACAATACTACAGCGAGGATAAAAGTTACGCCTTCTTTCTTTGTGAACATTTGGGCGGCGTTATGCATATCTTCCCACATAGTGAGGTAGATATGTGGGGGCGTGTTCGAACGAGCCGTTTTAGGTAGGTGTGGCTAACTCTTAACTTTTATAAAGAATATCTCTTTGGATTTGAGACTTTAGTCTTTGCAACTTTACAGATCTTCTTTATGCACCAAGAGCTTGTAACACTCTAAAGAGAAAGGAAAAAATGATCGCATCATATGACCCCTTTAACAGTTCTGGGAGGCAATTATACAGAAATACTTTGATGACAGACTTTGCTTGTGCATTTCTGAATGACTAACAACATTTCAGATGCTGTGGAACAAGATCGGTCCGCTGGTTAGTCAGGATTTGCCGTCCCATAGCGCAAAGTCACATTACTTTTTTGATGCGCTTGGAGGAATTTATTCGCAAAATGCATTTCCATCTCCCATTATTTGCATTAACCCTTTTTCGCACAAGTCAAAAACCACCTCAAGCGAGCGTAAAAACTTTTTTGCGAATTAAGGCATTTTTAGTCGAAATTCAGCGTTTCCATCTCTCGATTCTGATGCGATAGGCCTACTTCAAAATGCGCATAAAAGCCGGGTGATGGAAACTTGACAATTGTTCACAAACAAGATAGTCAAAATGCTTAGTCATGTTGTCAATATAACAGTGCACTCTGTTAGTATTACCTGCTGTAAACTATGACAACAGTTTGGATGATAGTTACTATTGAAATGCAGAAGGCTGCACTTCTTATGTATGCCATATATCCATTTCTAAAGTAGCCTACAAATTTACACATTACTGTATGTGGGATATTGATTGAAAGAGACTGGATAGGATTCACAGTTACACTTTACTAGTGGTCTGACAAAAAATACATTACAATGGCATTGTGATATAGAAAAGAAAAAAGAAATATGGGCACAAAGATAAAAAATAAAAATTTCTAATAAAAAATTAGAAAGTCCATTGTCAGAATTTGTAACTTGTGTTGTCCTCTGTCTATATATGCTTTCCAATTGAAGGTTCATGAGAGGTACCTTTGAGCTATTTCAGAGAACTGGTTTATCATTATATTCTCTTCATTAGTGAAAGTCAAGATTCATTCACCTGCACAATTCATGGCAAATTTACAAAAAGTCTAATAGAAATGTGTAGAAAATTTGATTGACAGTTTATGACAACTCAAACATTTTGCATTGAATGACTTATACGATGAACTAATGCCTAGATGTTTTGAGGGGTAAGACTATTGCACAGAGAACTATACAATTTGAGCAACATGACAATAGCAATTGATAATGTAGGAAACCGCAGAGAAATAATCAATTGCATGAATGTATCAAAGCAATCGTAACTTGCTCAAAAGAATGAGAAACTGCTTTTATGATGTGCACAAATGACTAGATGATGTGGAGGTTGAACAAGTAGTTTTGAGAATTTCATTTCTGATCTGAGAAATGCACCAAAGAGACTGAGAAAAACTGTAATTATATTATTATATTGGTTAATAATATATAATTGAGAAATAAATATTCAGAATTAAAAAAACATATTTATGTATATTTTCATGTATATTCGGCAAAAATGAAAGGTAACTAAGATAACTGTTTACCTTTATTGACAAAAAAAATCTTTGTGAAATTCATCTATTGTACTTATTTTATCTGCTTATAATTGTCGCAGTCTGCAGCGGGTGTGCCCAGGAGGGCCACCAGATTGAGTTCAGTACATTGGGGAACTAATGGTAAATTATTTTATAATGGAGAATCCAGATAGATAGATAGATAGACAGACAGACATAGATAGATAGATAGATAGATAGATAGATAGATAGACAGACAGACATAGATAGATAGATAGACAGATACAGAAAAAAAAAAAAAAAAAAAAAAAAAAAAAACAGACAGACAGACAGACAGACAGACAGACATAGATAGATAGATAGATAGATAGATAGACAGACCGACAGACATAGATAGATCGATAGATAGATAGATAGATAGATAGATAGATATAATATTGTAATGATTCTCTATTATAAAATGATTAAATCAATCTTAAAATGTCACCGGATCATATTTCTAGCACAGTCCCAATTTCTGCCAGTTTGGGGTTGTTGGCGTGTTGGGCGGAGCGCGCATGCGCAGAGGGCTCACTCACACACCGCTGCAGGGAGACCGCAGGACGCTGGATGAATAGAGGGAGAATAACCGTAAATATCCAGATGGGAATATGTGGCCAGAGTATGGCGACGTCCTGAAGAAGACAAAGACTTTTTAGACAGCGACACCTCCTAACTCGGGACATGAAGGATCATTAAGGAGAAAAACTGGGGTACCAGAATGGATGAAGCTCTATGGGCAGAACCCCACTTTTATTACCGGATCGACCCGAAATAGATGTGAAAATAAGCCCAACCGTGTGTTTGAACAGCGACCTGACACATGTATGTTACAAAATCTGATTTTGAGAATCTGAGAAAAAAGCAAAAGTCCGATTTGATCCGTTGAATTCCTTCGGAGACATGTCATCGTTGTAAGTGCTGGATGTGACACTGCAGCAGTGAATATGGGAGATCTGACCGACTCCAGAGATCCGAGAAACACTTTCATTGTTCCTGCCATCAAGTCCTTTGATCATTATGAGTTTAACAGAGCTAAAATCAGAGCCAGCCTCACATGGCTGGTGGCCAAAGCCTTTGGTACAGGTAGGTGGCGTGTTTCTCTTTCTCCGCCATCATCTTTGTCTCTTGATTTGATTTCCAATGTATTGCAGTGAATACATTTGGTATCATTTATAAATAGAGAAAAATATGTAAATGTGAAAATATAATTTTAAATACGAATGCATTTTATAATGTAATATTCAGTGTTAATAAATGCATTTTGCTCATGCATACCTCTAAAAGAAGGATTTTGTATTAAATCATGTTACATAATGTTAATATCCAACAATATGTAACTTCATAAACAATCACATGTTAAGTGACTGTTTATTAATTGTATCCACTACTTAATGCTGTAATGTAAAATGTTATCCAACACTAACAAAACAAGTACTGCATGGTTTGTAGATATGTACCATTGTAGTACCTAGAAGTACCATGTAAATACCACGGTAAATGTATGCTAATCATTCAGTGTTGTTAGCATGTATTGTTAGCATGCCCTAATGGTTAGCCTACCATCCAATTAATGTATAATTTTATAAACGGTACACTTTACACAATGTTTTTTCCATTTATATGTTGAAACTAAAGCAGTCCCTTGTGAAAAAGAAGTACACTTTAGCAAATTTAGCAAAAAGAGTACTTATTACAAAAAAACATTTTAAAAGAATATACTTAAGTGTGAACTGACTGTAATGTTTTCAGACATTTAACTGCGTGCTATTTGCGATTTAATTAAATGTATTATAGTTTAAATTGATATGAAATGCAATTTTGTTGAACTTCCTTTGAGATATGGCTAAAGTACACTACTGAGTGTACTGACAAGCATTTATGGTAAACTAAAATATATTTTAATGTCATTTCTGTTGAGGCTTATATATTATGTATTTAAATATATTTTCAATTACATATTTGTAATTATGAAGTTGCAATTTAGTACATTTAAAATATATAAACTTAAAATGTAATAGTGAATAAAACACTCAAATTATAATTAAGTATTTTAAATGTGCTTTAGTATGTTAGTCAACACATTACAATTAAAGCATGACAAAAGATGATTAAAACAATGATTTAACAAGTAAAACTTTTAATTTGACATTATTACAAAGTGGATATTTTAAAAGTGTACTTAAGTGTGTTTTGAAACAGTCAGGAAAGTGCACTTAAGTGACCTTTTATTTCATTAATATTACATCTGCAAGTCCAGTTTAAAAAACATATACTTCTAAGATTTTAAGTGCACTACAAGTACACCAATACATTGAAGCACACTTTTTTCACAAGGGGATTGACTTGATATCAGAATATCAGTGAGAATATCAATTAACAAGAACCAAAGTTGTGATATATGAGCCACAGAGTTCAAAAGTGTTCATTGACACTGTGGTGAACAATGTGACAAAATGAATCATCTCCTAATTTCATCTTCACAGCTCACATTGTGTCCTGAATCTGACCTTATGGTCATAAATGTAGTTACATATTCATATTCAGTCATATCGCTTGACATGTGGATTGACACTGACATCCGGATTTATTTGATAGCTAGCGTTGAGCTATATGTTCAGTTTAACAGCACAGACCCATTGTGATTGGCTAACTGATGACCACCGGCCATCTGGTCTCCTTTAGGTCCTCTTGTCTCATTAAAATGCGCAGTCAGGTCTTCAGGCCCATGCACAACACAAATGACAACTCTTGCTGTCAGAGTGGTTATTGTTTAGCATCTTTGATTTAAAGTTACCTTAAATTCAATGAACAAGTCACTGAACTCCAGGGTGAGGATATGGTAATGTTCAGTAGGCTGAGTGACCGGCCTTAAGGGTGTTATTGACCTGTTTGTTGACTTGTTTTGAGGTGTAACCTTAGGACAGATGACAGAACAACTGATAAAAGCCTGCGTTTCTCCATGCGAAGAATTATTAAATCAACACATTTGAGTAATATTTAAAACACAATGTAGCAGGCTTTAAAAATATATAAGGAGGATGATGCCAACAGACTAGTTCAAATGAAATACAAGCGGTTGTTTGAATGAAAAAAGAGTGGTCAGCTTAAAGTCCATAAAAGCCTTTCCATTGATCCATTTTGGTCAGTTGGGAAAGATAGAGATAATGAATTGGTCATTTAATGGCATGCACTCTATTTTCGGTTCATCTCTTCAATGCATTCTTACTTGACAGCACATTGCTTTCTGAAAACTGACCGAGGATTTATTACTTATTTATTGTGAAAATGAATGCGTGAAATAAAGTGAGGAAAAGATGAACTGCTAGCTCTCATTCAAATAGCGAGAGCTGAAACATCACCAAACACACTAAATAAAAGGCACAGATAAATTTCACATTTAATATAATAAGTTATTGAATAGTTCATTTAAGTGAAAAAGTTGGTGTAATATGTTTTGTAGCTTAATAAATAAATAAATACTGATAAAGCTGTATAGATATAAAAATCTGTTAATTAGCAATTTAAGCATGGCTTTTAATTATATTGTATGTAATTATATATATATTTTTTGTATTATCCCAGAAATAAAAAAATAAAAAAATTTAGGTGAGTCATTGTTATTGGTGTTACTGGCCTTTATACATACATAGTGCGTAGTAAAAATATAATTAAATAAATATTTAAATACAAAATGTAAAATATTGTCTTTATGTTGTTTCCACATTAATTTAGAGATTCTGTGTGAAAATATGTAGAAATCTGTGGGATTATTTAGTTTTTTATCGTAAACATATCATCATATATATTTAGTAATATATATTTAGCATTTTATTTTTATAAGGCAACGGTCATATGCGAAACATTCAAATGTAATTTTCGGGGGAAAATTTTTTTTTTTACATTTTTAATTTTTATAACATATGTAAATGATATTTATGTCTAAAAAACAGTCTGTATATAGTGTTTTTAATTACATACACACACACACACACAGTATATATATATATAGTAAAATACAGTAAATAACAACATATATACGACATATATTTAAAAAACAGTAAAATACAATATATATTTAAAAACAAACAATAGTTTTTTTCTACACATATTTAAAAAAAACTTAATTACATCAAAAATGCCACGCGAAAACGTCTGTGAATTTTGAAGACGCTAATGAATCGTTTTATCTTATTCACTTTTAATTCACTTCACAGATGAAATCAACTGAAATGCACATTTTCAACTGATTTGCAGAAATTAATTACAATGTCTATTAAAAACATTGGAATCACTTCATTTTATATAGCTGACAAAAACATAGTGAATCATCATCATGATATTGGACATATTGTCAGGCTGTAAAGAACAGAATCTCAGCACCTGTGTAGTTCCTCTCTCTCCATCTGTCTTTGATGAGGCTCGTGAGGAGCTCTTGGATATATACGTATGACAGGGGAATCGACCAGCCTCCATATTGTTGCCATGGCAACCGCAGCCCGACACTCATATTTTTTTACTTCCACCGTCAACGCCTTGTGGCTTTGATACCATCTATTATTTTATCATATAGACCCATTTTAAAAGCTTTCGTGAAAGCTATGAATTAACATTAAAGGTAGTTTGTCATTTTTTGCGTATTGTCGACATCTCTTGTAAGACATTCATTGGTACGGAATGCTTCAAATCTGTTTTGCCGTTACCACAATCAGGTTTAACACAGAAAATTGAAAGCATGTGCAGGTAATAAGGATACAAGCGTTCTCCCAAACTCTCACCCGTCTCCATAAATAGCTAAACATCTCGTTCTCCATGGATACGGTGACCTCATTCGGATCTGTGAACCCATTTATTCTGTCAGCGTGTGAACTCGTGTTAATGATATTTTTGATTTTGTAGCCGTGTGGTAGACACCGTCTCGCTTCCTTTAAGGGCTTTCTCCTTTCCTTCATCTTCCCGGGTGAGAGTAAATTACACTTGCACAGAGGATCGGAAAACACCGGGCTTTAGCTATATTTAGCTGTCCTGAAGATGAAAAGTACTTTGATCTTCACAATTCAGGAAAAAAAAATCTCGCCAGCTCAGCTGTCTGCTATGATATAACAGAGTGAAGGCATCTTGATATGAAAGTAATCGGTCCCACCAGGATTTCACAATATTTTTGTGGCTTTTGGTGATCAAATCTTATAGACATAGTTACTTTGTCATTTAATTTTATTTTTGTTATTAAAAATAAGCAAATTCTTTTTCGTGTCTTATTTTCTCATTTGTGCATGTTTCATTGTTAAACATTAGTAGTACTGTGCTTTTTGGCAATTATTCTGTGGTTAAATTGCTAATAATGCAAGATTGCGGGGGGGAAAAAAACGGAAATTTTGCCGATTCGGCGATTGCAGAATTGTAAAAACTAGAGGGAATGATTGATATTAGGGCTGCACGATAAATCGCATGCGATATTTAACTCGCATCTTGTCAGTAAAGCCATTCCGTAATCAGCGGTAAATCTCCATCACGTGCAGGCTTTCACGTGGAGCAGCATTAACTACACAGAGCCGTTGTTCACCGACAAGCTGCGCAAAACCACGATCATATTTTGCGCATGTTTTGCGCAGCTTGTCGGTGAACAACGGCTCTGTGTAGTTAATGCTGCTCCACGTGAAAGCCCGGACGTGATGGAGATTTACCGCTGATTACAGAATGGCTTTACTGACAAGATGCGCGTTAAATATCGCATGCAATTTATCGTGCAGCCCTAATTGATATGATGAATCTTATATATTTATGTTTAAATACCTATGCTAATAAGCCGATAATTATATCTATGTTAAGGCCAATGGCCGATAAATAGCCGATATTACAATTCTTTACTATTTTGTGTAAATAAATACAATTGCCAAAAAAGCCCAGTCTTTTTACATACTACAAAATGTGAATTTTGTGTTTTTTTTAATGCATTCATGTTTCTTTGTTACACAAACATGTCAATAATGTTTTGTGTTTTTTGCAATTATTTTATGGTTGCGAATTATGCAGCATTGCAAAAAACTGACAGATGTAGATTTTGCATTGTATTCCACGATCGCAGAACTGTGAAAACTGGAGGGACTGATTAATACGATGAATATTATGTATTTATGATTAATACCAATGCTAATAAGCGCTAAGTATTTTTATGTTATGGCCAATAACCGATAAATAGCCGATATTACAATTCTATACTAAACTAAACACTAAAAACTAAAATCAGTCTTTTTAAATGTTACAAGTGAATTTTGAACCTTTTTTCCTCATTCATGTATGTGTCTTTATTACACAAACATGTCAATAACTTAGTACTGCATTTTTTGCAGTTATTTTGCAGTTAATGGCAAATTATGCAAATAATTGCAAAAAAAGTGACATTTTGTAGATTTTGCGTTGTGTTTCGTGAATACAGAATCGCAAAAACTAGAGGGACTGATTAATATGACGAATCATATATATTTATGATTAAATACCAATGTTAATGAACCGATAATTATTTCTATATTAAGTCCAATGACCGATAAATAGCCAATATTACAATTCTATACTATTTGAAGATAAGACAATTTGTTTGTATTTTCTCATTCATGCATGTTTCTTTGTTACACAAACATGTCAATAACTTTTTGTGCTTTTTACAATTATTTTGTGGTTAAATTGTGAATTATGCAGGATAGCAAACAAATTTTTGCATTGTATTCCACGATCGCATAACTGCAAAAACTAGAGGGACTGATTAATGTGATGAATATTATGTATTTAGATTTAAATACCAATGGTGATAATCTGAAAACAGTTTTTATGTTATGGCCAATAACAAATAAATAGCTGATATTATGATTGAAAAAAAAAAACTACTAAAAACTGAAATCTTTTTAAATGCTAAAGTGAATTAAGGCATCAAAATATTATAATGTACACTATGAAATTGGATATTCGTTACAAAATGGCTAACATTACTTGTGGTTCTGTCATCTTGCAGACAGTGTTCCAGACGACCTGAGCGAGCCCTTCTACAGGGACCAGTATGAGCAGGAGCACCTGAAGCCTCCGGTGGTGGGCCTGCTGCTGTCAGCTGAGCTGTACTGCAGAGCAGGAAGTCTGATTCTGAAGAGCGACGCTGTTAAACCTCTGCTGGGTCATGACGCCGTCATCCAGGCTCTGGCTCAGAAGGGCCTGTACGTCACTGACCAGGAGAGACTGGTGACCGAGAGAGACCTGCAGAAGAAACCCATTCAGATGGTGAGAGAACCTGCTCTTTCACATGTTTCATTGAAACGCTGATTGTATTTCAGTGATCTTGGCACAGGTGGATCTTGGATATTATGCATAAATGACAAAAAACACAATCTGATTTTCTGACATCCAATTCAGGCCACTTTCAAATGTGGTTAAATCTATTACTTATCTGACCAATGACTTCAGATAAACCCCACTCTTGAACAGCTCACTAAAACAAACTGTGATTGGTCAATTTACATGTTGGTCAGACAGTGACCCTTTATATTTATTATTCTGCTATAATTAAAGGTACCTGTAGGGATGCATTGATATTAAACATTTTGGCTGATACCGATAAGCCTATGAATTATTCATTTATAAATGACCGATATTAAAATTAATATATGCAATATTGTATTGTGCAATATTGTATATATATATATATATACAATTGCAACAATTGTCCAATTTTTTTTTAGTTTGTGTTTGTGTTTTTGTTTTATTTTTATTTATTTATTTATTTTAGTTACTATTTATTTTATTTCAATATTATTTACGAAAACAGAAATTATTTGTAATAGTTTTAGTTACCGATAACAACACTGCTTTAAGTGAGCGATAGATGATGACAGAGCTAATCTAAATGTAAAAATAGAAGAAATATGCATGAACAATTAAATTAATCAATTAAATATCGACCAGTATCCAATATCCTGCAGATATATCCTTCACCCCTGGGAATACATCACATTACAGAAGTAAAATGTGTTGTTTTGTGTTGTCTTTAAACCAAAAGCAGGCCCAAGATCAGGATTGGATAGACCTCTCATAATTCTCTCTCAGTTTTATGTCCTTTATCTTGTGGTTCACATTGTCAGTGTGTTCACATTGTTTAATTGAAGATGTATTTCAGGCTCATAGCCTCTGCTTTAAAGATATAAAGAGTTCTGTTGTTGTGTGAGCGACTTCCTGTTGATATTTAATTACAACGCTGCTGTTTGCTTTGCCTCTGGCTTCCTCATCCCCAACCGAACACATATCATCACAAACAATCTCTGCGCTGTGTTAATAACCATTTTGCATAGTGTCAATAATGATTCTAGTAACTCCATTCTGTGCTTCCCATGACGAATTGATTATTTTAATTATATTAAATGATCACGTCACACTGCTGGTAGTTATTTCTCTACAAGTCACCAAGCTATTGTATCTGCATGTAGCCGACTGCATAGCTGCGCTCATTTACGGCTTGATCTCTACGAACCAATGAACATTTCAGCACCTCAACCTCAGAGCCCACAAATCCTCATTAGCGTCAGAAAGCCGTCCATCTGTCTGCTCTGCTACAGTAAGCTGCCTGACTACAAGATCTGTCAGTCTTCTTGTGCTCCACTTTAACCTGTTTAGCCTGGCGCTCCGGGGAGTGAGTTTTTCGGCTTTGTGGCTTTACCCGTTTTGAGAAAATGTTGCAGTCATTACATTATAAATTGAGTGTAGAAAGGTTTTACACTTTTGTTAAGTTATTATTGCTAGATTTCGACTGAGTGGAGCTTTTCAACTAATAACCCTGAAGCTAAACCCTCATCTAGGGGTGGGCGATATACCGGTATACATGATTAACCGGTAGAAATTTGTCAACCGGTAGAGAATTTGGACTATCGTTTCTATCGCGGTTCCACGCTCACGTGACATTGCTGTGCTACTTGGTCACGAAACCTTATCCTTTGCACGTCTTTAAGCATTGCAGTTAAAAAACAAGTGATTTTAAGCCATTGAAAGAGAACTCATTTCACTATATGCACGAGAGACTGTTTCTAAACGCTGTCAGGGAGGCGTGCACGCGAAAACAATGCTCATTGTGCGCGGGAGTATTAAACGTAGTTATTTTTGCCGCTTTTATAGCCGCTTCATAGGCCTTGACCCGGTAAATACACACACTTTTATGTGTCAAAATGCTGGTCTTTGCAAGTATCCTCGTAAACACAGTAATTTAGGTCTTAAAGTGTTATGAAACCCTAAAACACATTTGTTGAGATGTTAACATATATGAACAGGTTGCGCATCATTGAAAACAACTTTAGCACTCATTATGTCTATTATTAAAGGGTTAGTTCACCCAAAAATTCTTGACCGTTGTTTTGTTTTGATCTCTCCGCTGCGTTTCCGCGTGCGTCACTTCTGAGTGGCGCATGCGCAAAGCCGACCTCATACGTCATTCCCCCAGAAGTGCTTCTGTTTACAACAGTGAGCGCAAGCTAGATTCAAGTGATTATTACGTTTTGAATATGGATATTTTTCTTACAAAAACGCATCGATTCGCTACAAAAGGCCTTTGTTCACCCCCCGGAGCCGTGTGAGACACTTTTTTTTATGGATGGTAGCTTTTTATTTAAGTTCTTTTGGACTGAAGCAATGCAACACCCACTGAGTGGCATTAAACAGCTTGAAAGATCAAAGACAATTTTTAATATAACTCCAACTGGATTCGTCTGAAAGAAGAAAGTCATATACACCTAGGATGCCTTGGGGGTGAGTAAAACGCAGCCTAATTTTCATTTTTGGGTGAACTAACCCTTTAAGGTAAAAGTGGTTCTTTTTTAATTTTTTTGAACAATTTTCATTCTTCCAGTTCAAAAAGCAAAGTTGAACCAATGTCACGAAAAGTGACGTATATGCGTTAATTTGCAGTTGTGATTGGCTGCCGAGTTTTTCTCATTATTATTTATGGGAATTAAATCTTATGATCCAATCACTGCGCTGTATTATGCATGAGGTTATCTTACAGCAGAGAATTCAAATTAGATGAAAGAGTTTCCACGCTGTCCATTCATTTCTGTAAACATGACCGTAACAATATTTACTATGTAACAACACGTGGAGCACGCATACATGAGAGAGCGGTTTCTGCGTGGAACACCGCGATGAGTTTAATAACACTCGCTGCGTGGATCATAGTTCATATCCAGACCAGAGCAAGCGTGTTTCAAGTTTATGTGAACATATTTCATATTCTCTCTTGCTCCGAACATGAACCGGCACTGTGTATGCACACATACACATCATGTCTTCTTCAAGTGAAATACAATCAAATAAGGGCGCTGAAGCTGATACAGCGGTACATCTGATCATGAACGTGCTTACACAACAGATTATTGTGATACACAGCAAACAATGATATATAGACTGAAAATTCAAAGAAGAGTAAACAGAAAGGAACTGCCTTTATTCTTTCTGTTTTAAAGATATTTTAATATTCATTTGTCTGTATAATGAGTGTGTAGGTCTGTGTTTTATTGGTTGCTTTCTCCCCTCTTCCCACCCTCTTCACTCCCATTTTTCCAGTTTTAAACACCCATTTCTGGATTCTTTTTCAGATCTAAGGTGTGAAAGACCAGGGGGGTTTCATGACACTTTAAGTGAAAGCAAACAGCTGAGAAAGAAAACACATGTGTAAGAGTACATTGGATCCGGGCAGCTCTTAAAGTGACAGCAGTCTGATATTCCTGCTGTCTGTCATTCATGTTAATCAAACAACAAAAGAGAGAAAATCTCTCACTGCTCTTGACTAAATCACTTTTGTAACTTTAATAAGAAGAAATATATATTTAATTTACACAATTTACACAGTTTGTTCTACTGTAGTTTTTGTCCTATTGCTTGTAATTATTATTATTTAATCGCTGACTGTTTACTTGTCTTCAGTGAGTTTGAGTTTTTAAAAAAAAATTTATTTAGGTTAGTATTAGTTTTTTGTGATATTGACACTGTTGACACGAATTATGAAATTTCTAATCATAAACATTATTTAAAGCAAAAATAACTATATCGATGTATATTTACCGTGAAATAGAATTACTCATATCATGATATAAGATTTTGGTCATATCACTCACGCCTACCCTCATCAATGAAACACTAATTATACAACACTGTTTCCACTATAGATTTCAGTCCACCAAATTGTTTTTTTTTCAAACCCAAACACCCCCCCTTTTGATTGGCAAAATTTTCATACATTTATACATTTTACATATATTATATCAGTTACTGGTTATCGATATGGACCAAGATTGATTTTTTATATCATCCTCTATATTAAAAATGCTACTTTTAGAGGCCATTTGCTTAGCTTATCTCTTGTTTGTTGGGATGAAGTTGATGGGACAGTGTTTTGGTTGTGATGACAGTGTCCTGCTGTATTGCAGAAACTTCCTCACACATTAATAAGGTTTGACTGCACCCACTGAATGACTGCTGCGCTTTACCATCAATAATTCAGCTGGGGTTCTATTTTGGATGTGTGAGAGGCAAAACCTGTCAGAGCTTCGTGAGGTGATCAGAGTTACATCTGCTTGTGCTTTCAAATGTTCTTGACAGTAAAGGGCTTTATCATACACTTTATTTTTATTTAAATCTGCTTATGAGGATTTTCTCGCTGACCTTTATAATTGAAGCGCATTTTTTGCTGCTGTACCTTTAAGACTACTACATTTAATGTATATAAATGACCTCTCTTGTGATTGGATGGTGATATGTTAATGTGTTTGTAGCTCTGTCATCATAATGACATTCTTAGTTTGCATAAATGGGTTGGATGCTTTGGAAATGTAACTCTTTAATTCAAACATGTAAGGAAAATCTTGTATGGAAAATGTCTTTATTGCTTTATCATCTCTCTCTCTTTCTCTCTCTCTCTCTCTTTTCTGAAGAATTGTACATGCTCCTGCAGCTGCCGCCCACCCACACACAACCCCGCATTCATTCTACATTATAGACTCACTCAGAAATACATACATACGCAGCTCACACTCTCACCCACATAGTCACGCCACACTGAGAAAAAATGATCATAATAGCCTTTGTGTTCAGGGTTTAATTAATTTGATATCAGTCTGGTAATCAAACAGCACATATATGTAAAATTATTTAAATAATTTTAACTATATATTGAATTAATAGAAAATATGAATGTTTTTAAATAATTTTAAGTGCAACAAATATATACATATATATATATAGAG